ATACGTGGCACCTGAGTGACCAGGGTGGTGCTCTCCGCAGAGCCTATCCCCAACTGCGGCCAGGCAGCAGGCACTGAAAGGCATAATTCTCAAGTAGGCTTTGCCTCGTTACCCCCTTTTCAGTTGGGGGGAAACAAATCTGGTTCCTCTTCCCCACTATCCTCCCCTGACACGCTAAACGGAGTGGCTGTGGGGACGGACAAATCCAGAAGATCTAAGTGACCGGAAGACCGCACGGGGACCTTCACTCCAGAGGAAGGGGTGGGGATGTAATCTCCCCCCAGCTCAATTCGACCAGCATCATTTCTACCCCCGCTACCGGGTGGGAGGCTGATTCCGCCACCTGTTTTTCTACAGTATGCCTTTCCAGACAATGAGTTACCTCCTGCCATGGCCGCATAAACTTCTTTGCCCGTTTATCGTCATCGATAACCTGATGCCACAAGACATCCCCATAGAGCTGCCATTCATCTAAGACAAAGTACGGGCTGGAATGCTGAAAGAATTTGCATTCCCTACCACAGTCCAGCAGTTCTGGAACCACCTTCAAGATTCCCTTATCTAGGCCCCGCTTTTCCAAAAAGTGAATTAAGAGATTCAGGGCTACCCCTCCTTCCATGGTGCACTGCAACTCTGCATCCCACCACCGACAGTGCCCAGACATGGAGGATCCTGCATGCGCTTCCTGAAATTGCCCTCTGGACCATGCAGACCCCTTCTTGGTCAGTCTGGGCACTTCTGCCCCCTGCTATGCTCCATCAGTGCTCTGTGTCAGATGCGTGCTTCGCAAACACGCTAACTTTCAATCCTGGGTCCGTGTTTGGGCGCCACTTGCCGCTGCTTCCAGGGCTGGTCCTGGGATTTGGTCAGTTTGCTAGTCCAGACGCGTGGGGAGTGATGACAAGAACTCAATGTGAATGCACCAGGAAAACCCCACTTTATTGTTATAGTGTGACTCTATTTATAACCATATTAGTAAACTTGGCACAAGCTGATCAGTTAACAACCCCGTAACTACCCCTTACTCACAAAGGTGATGGGCTACACACGTTTTCATGCCTTAGGAACTATCTCTGCGGCACACCCGTGGTTACTTCCTTATCTCCAAACCAAGTTCCTCTGTGGTCGTTTACTTTGGGGCTCAAGGACACGGTGTCCACGCAGGTGGCACGCTAGTATTCTTCCATCTGTACATCTTGAGAGCCTCCTGCCCTGTCCTGCTCGTACAGCTGTTCGAGGGGCCCATGGCCCTCTTGGCTAGCAAGCCACCTGTCGACAGCCGTGGGGTGGGGGTGCCTCATTCCCGGCCCCCTTTCTCTTTTGCCCCACAGGACGATCTGCCTCATCCTGGTCTGCCTCCAGCTGCTCCTTGTTGTGCTGGGCTCTGCAGTGCTGTACGCCCAGCACTTCGATCAGGAGCTCTTCTATCAGCTCCTGCCTTGAGTGCTGCCCCGGGCAACGTACACTTCCCTGGCGTACTTTGCGAGCAGCACCCTGCATGTGGTCTATGATGGGCTGCTGCCCCTCTGACCGCCGTGCTCGGTAGCCCCTCCCAGCTCGGGGCTGCGCGGTGGGGCACAGGGAGAGGGCTCTGTCCCCATGGAAAGGGCCTCTCCTGCCTCCTGGGGTGCACAGGCACAGCTGTGGGGCAGTGCTGGCAGGCGGCTGAGTGCCACCGCTTTGGACTTCTCAGTGAGTTTCTACTGTTGTCGTGAATCGTTGTCAGCTGAACACCACCTCCTCCGACGACCTGGAGATGGTCATCACACTGGAGATCCGTGCCTGACACCAGGACGTGGCTGGATCTACGAGCGCTTTGCTGCCTGTCCCTCTTTCCCCATTTTCTGCCTTTTTGTCATCTGGTATTCTTTGGCTCTTTGTCACAGCCATTGCCTACAATTGTTACATCTAACATTATTCCTTGCAATCAGCCCATTGGTCGGTGTTAACACCAACTGGTTGTTGCTGGCTGTTAAGAAAGCTCTCAATAAATGGACATCTATTATTCCCCTGAGTTTGGATGACTCCATTGCAGTAGCGGCCCTTTGCTGACCATGGGAAGCACGACTCAGGAGATGGAAAGAGATTCAGCACTTCAAAATGCACTGAGTGGGATGAGACGTAGATGGGAAGAGAAACGAGATGAGCAGCACCCCTCTGCACACAGACTGCTGCTGTGTCTGCACAGATCTCTTCTGTCTAGTGTTTATCCATGAAGGCTGGAGCAAAGAAAAAGTGTCTCTGCTGGGGAGCTCTGGAGAGGCATAGAGATGGAAGACGGGAGAAATGAAAACTAAAAGCAGAAGCCCAAGGTCAAATGGTGCCAAACAGCATAACCCCAAGAACAGAAGGCTGAACACCTTTAGCAAAAACGTGAACCCAAGGCCCAAAGATTTAACCCTTTTACCAGAAAGTTGCACCCCAATGCCAAATGCTGCACCCCTTTCACAAAATCCTAACGCAGGACTGGGTGTGGCTGTGGCTTTAGACCCCTGCCAACATTTATAGGCAGAGCAGCTTCAGGGAAGGGAAGACAGCAGTGTGCAACGGATGTGAGGTGCAAAGGGTGAAAAAAAAGCTCTTCTTTGGTTCTCTGCTCTCTGACCTGGAAGTCTGGGATGGGGAGCGGAATAAACCCCCTCAATTCAGGAGGAAACAGAGTCCTGTGTTCCACCTGGACTGCCACAAGTCCATGGAGGCAGATGAGATTAATCCAAGAGTACTGGGGGAGCTGGTGGAGGTGAAAAGCCAAGCTCCTTTCCATCATCTGTCAGCCCTCCTGGTCAACTGGAGATGCACTTTGGCCACAACACCAGGCACCGCTATGGCCGTGGGGCAGAGCAGCTGGAAGTCAGCGTAGAGGAAGTGGATCTGGGGTTATCGGTTGACACTCAGCTGAACACGAGCCAGCAGTGTGCCCAGTGGCCAAGAGGACCAATGGCATCCTGGCCTGCATCAGAAATGGTGCTGCCAGCAGAGCAGGAAGTGATTGTCCCTCTGCACTTGGCTCTGGTGAGGCTGCAGCTCCAGTGCTGTGTTCAGCTCTGGGCCCTTTGCTGCAGGAAGGGTCCCGGGAAGACCTCACTGCTCTCTAACTCCTGAGGGAGGCTGTGGTGAGCTGGGGGTTGGTCTCTGTTCTCACCTAACAGTGAGAGGACAAGAGGGAATGGCCTCAAGTTGTACTAGGGGAGATTCAGCCTGGACGTTAGGAAGTATTAGTGCTCCAGCAGAGTGGTCGGGCTGCAATGGGCTGCACTGGCAGCGGTGGAGTCGCCGGCCCTGGAGGTGTTCAAGGAACAGTGAGACGTTGTGTTGAGGGACACAGACTGGAGAGAGCTATTGATGATCTCAGCCTTGGTCATCGTGTGATTCTGTGATTCTGGGTGGGGGACTGAGGGGGGACATTAGGTGGGGGACAAAGATCAGAATGGGGGAACAGAAAGGGTGGGACAGGGTTGGGGGGGAAAAGGGATCCTTAGGGTATGAATAGGGGGACTCAGTAGGGCGGAACAGGAGCCCCTGGTGGTCAGAATGGGGAGTTTCAGGGGGGAGGGAAGGGGGGAGGGGGAAGGGATTCTAGGAGTCAGAATGGGGGTCTGAGGGTTTGTCCTGGTGGGGCGAGGGGGGGTTAAATAGGATCAGAATGGGGGAACAGAAAGAGTGGGATGTGGTAAGGGGAGGAGGAAAGGACACCTACCCTGCCAGGAGTGTCTTATAGGTGATCAGAACTCGCTGACGTTGGCAAACTTTGAGTTTGGTCAAGATGTCGATGATGGCATCTTCATCCATGCCTGCAAGAAACAAATGGAAGCTAGTCAGGCTGCTTGCACAGGAATCAGAAGCGCTCTCTGCTCTTGTGCCACCTCAAGTCCCCTACACAGCCAGCTCTACACAGCCCCAGGACTACAGCTATGCACACAAAGCTGCCACAAAGGACCACACCACGACATGAAGGGCAGTTCTGTTTCCACTTTCCAGTGATTTTTAGGGCAGCTGTACAGCAGAGCATAGCAAGCAGCTACCTTCCCTCTAACAAACCACCAGAGCAGCTACTCCCAGCGCTGGGGAAATGTCCCGTGTCCTCGCCCTTCTCTTCCTGCAGCTCCAGCCGGGGTCAACCCCCCGGGGCCCTGGCAGCGGAACGGGCGCACGCCCCGGGGTGCTGCCATCCTAGACGCGCGTGGTGATGACGCAATGGTGGCGCGACCGCGGACGAAAAGGATCCCGCGCGGAGCGCCCGCCCCATTCGGCGGACCAACCACTGGGAGAGCAAAGGAGGGCGGGGCTGAGCGCGGGCTCTCCGCCAATGGCAGACGCGAACGCGGGGCCGCCGCGATGGCGCGACGGCAGACCCACGGCACTCCGCCGCCCCGTGCCTCGGGGACGCCGGCAGAAGCTTGGGGATGACCTCAGCTGCACATCAGTACAGATATTAAACATGATGGGCCCCAATGCCGACCCCTGGGGAATGAGAGAGGTGCTCAACTCCAATGATTTCTGATCAGGAAATGATCTCAGTGAAGCAGCAAAGTTTTTACTCATTACTGCAACAGTGGGTGGGCACCCCCCTTATGGCAGGGAGACACTGTGCGCATGATCAGTTGAATACTTCTCATTTTATATATATATATATGAATACTATATTATATATCTTTCTCCCATCACAGGTCAAGTGGCCAAGTACTCCAGGCATACAATCCATGCAACACAGTTAATAATTTGTCTTTCCATGTGAGAGGTACCACCAACCTCACGTTTTCAGGATGCATACAGGAGGGCAATATTTCTTGAAGCTGTTATGCCTGTTTCATCCTATGCCAAGCCTTCCTTACCCTGCTCCGTATTTTTCCTTCCCTTACTACTTAGAAAGGACATATTTAAAAATAAACCTGTAGTAAAATATCTAAAGTTACTGAGCCCCAATTCCTGATTTATGACCCCTAGTATGCTGTGTTAGCATGCATAAATTTAATTCTGTGTTTACATTTATTCTGCAGTTTTTCCCTTGCATATTCCTTTGCAAAAGCTCACATTGTTTGTGTTTGAACATGGTTGGTTCAAAGCGCTTTGTGTTGAGTTCTTATCCCAGTCCATGCCCTAGCCTCTGCTCTGTTCTGCTGCTCAGCATCCTTCTTGCAGCAGCTGTTCGGCAAGAAAGCTGTAAGTTCATTAAAGGCCTATGCCCTGGTATTAGAAGTTTCTACTGCTGTCACAGCGTTATCTCTGGATCAGTGTGTGTCCGTGGCAGGGGAACAGCAGGCCTACAGCCTGAAATAAAAAACAGAGGGTGGGCGGCTGTGTCAAAGGTTTACAGGCCCATTTGGACAGGTTCCGTGACTGATGGGGCAGGGGACCCACAGAACCACGCCCAGAGAAACGGGGAAAGGGATAAAGGGGGAAGGGTAGGGAGATGGGCCTAAAAGCAAAACAGTGGCAATGAGCAGAGGGAGAACACTGATTTACTAACTACGATGTCGGAATGCAAGATAACACAATAAAATACCATACGATTGGGGTTGAGGCTAATGAATCAAATAAAATGAGAGTGTCCAAAACCAAAGGCCTTACTCTAAAGCTGAAGGCAAGACAGCTAGGGAGCACGCACTGCTGAAACAAGCAGCAGAAAAAGAGCAGTCTTGTGACTTGCAAGCAGTTTTATCTTTCCCTCTGAATGGAAAACGGAAACGCAAAGCCCTCTAGGGTACGCAGTTCTTCTCTTGTTAGAACCAGGCACCCAGCAATGCAGCAGTCTGTGGTACCGGAGCACTG